ACAACTTTGCTTGTGTTGGAACGAGCTTTTATCAAAATTTATAACGAAACCTAGACATTGCAATAGTTTCAAGGTTTCATTTACGTTAGATCTGCAATCCTCATAAGTGTTGCCGATGCAGAAAATATTATCTAGATAAATTACTGAATTAAAGCCCGCGCTTCTCAAGTGAGTTAAGATTTCTTTCATAATCTTAGTAAATACCCTGGGAGCCACTGACAGCCCATAGGGCATTGACGTAAACTCGTAGGTCGTAGTCTGATTGTTTCTCTTAAATTGGAATCTTCAATACTTTCTATGTTCAGCATGAATCGGAATTAGTAAGTAGGCTTCTTTCAGATCAATTTTGGCTAAGTATCCGTGTTGGGATATTAACTTTGCCGCTGTTCGATAATCTACCATCTTGAAATGAAACTTGGAAACATTTATTTAACGATTTCAAATTTAATATAAAACGCTTGCCTCCGTTTGTCTTGGAGGCAAGGAATATTTTAGAGACAAACTGGTCTCTACTTGGAAGACATTCTGTTATGGCACCTAAGTCAATCAGCTTTTGAATCGCAGTTGACATTTCCTGGTGCTCTAACTCTAGCTCTAAGGGTATTACATAATGATTTCTTATATTTACGCGAACACTACACATGATTAAAACTACTTTTACGGATTTTATCGCGTTTATTTTACTTTGTTTGCTATTTCCAATCCGTATTTGTTTACATAATGATTTCTTATATTTACGCGAACACTACACATTGATTAAAACTACTTTTACGGAACGGTACTTTTAAGCAAAAGTAAACGCGATAAAATCCGTAAAAGTAGTTTTAATCATCTAAGGGTATTGCTAGGAACGTTTGTTTGGCAGACTTCCTTGCAAAAAGGTATGTATCTTTGTATCCAATCTAAAATTACTGAACAGGATGAAATTCTCGTCCAACAATTAAATAAAGTATTTAATTCTACCTGCATGTACCTGAGTTACTGCGGCACTGGGGCACGAGACTTGTTCGCTGCTGAAGGCTTCGATGGTGGCTGCTGTTGCATCGAGCTCGGGTATGGATGGCGGCTCTGTGTCGACGTTTTCTTCCCACCTCGGTTGCAGCGGTTCGTTGAGTACCGAGGTGGGCCGGACCAGTTTCCCGAACTAGATGAGCGGTTGCTAGTGGATTGAGAGCCAGAAGGTTTCGGATTAGTCTTTTTGATTTGCAGACCCTGTCGTTCAATAGCTCTGGCTGGGATCTTTTCTGAAAGTTTGTTACCGAACAAAGTTTCGGCTCTTACTGAATCTTGAACTACGTAGAGAAAGTTCTTATCCAGGTTTGGTGTAATTAGCTTTATGCGGCTATTCGTATTTATCGTATGCAAATCCGAAAGAATACGGCAGGCATTGCTAAGATGTTGGATAGCGTTCTGCTTGTCGTCCCCACTTAAGAGAATATTTAGCGCCCTGTTAACGGCAGTTATCCCCGACCCGAGTTGCTGTTGGTGAACTACCAGGATCTTATCTCTGTTTCTTACAGAGTCTATAACTGCTGCTGATTTTTCTGCTTTAATTTTAGGTGCTTGCAGCAACCTACAGTTTTTTTTTATAGAAGAGGGGGCAAACGAGCATGCGGCTCACCTGATGTTAAGTGACTACCGCCGCCCGTGATCAACAACAACACCAGGGGAATTGCAGGTGCGTTGCCGGCCCTTTAGAAAGGAGTACGCTCTTTTCTTGAAGGTCCCCAGGTCGTATCGGTCTGGAAAAATCGTTGGTGGTAAACTATTCCACAGACAGGTTGTACGCGGAAGAAAACTCCTCTTGAAACGTACAGTGGTGGACCGCCAAGCATCCAGATGATGTGGATGGTATCGCGACGTTTGCCGCTTAGTGCGTTCACGAAATTTGGCGGCTGGGATTAATCCGAACAATTTCTCAGAGCACTCTCCATGGTATATGCGAAAGAAAATGCAAAGAGATGCAACATCTCTTCGCAGTGCCAGTGAATCGAGCCGATCGGAAAACACTCGGTCGTCGACGATTCGAGCCGCTCTGCGCTGGATGCGGTCAAGTGGAAGGAGCTGGTACTGGGGAGCCCCAGCCCAGAGATGGGAACAGTATTCCATGTGCGGCCGAACCTGCGCCTTGTAAAGTTGCAGGCGGTGTGCCGGCATGAAATACTGTCCCTTTGCTGAGCACGCCAATTTTAGAGGCCAATTTGGCCTTCTCTTCCAAGTGACCACGAAACTGCACGTCACTCGATATGTCGACGCCGAGGATTCCGATACTGGCTGAGGCAACAAGGGGATTGCCTTGAAACTGAGGAGATACGACAAAGGGGTTCTTTTTAGCGGTTAACGCGCAAACTTGTGTCTTCTAGGGGTTAAACTGGGCTAGATTTAGTCGCCCCCAATCAGAGACTGTTCAGCAAGGACTCGACTTCAGACACAAGTTTGTTCCGGCACTCGGAGACGTTTTCCCGAGAAATATTGGCTCGGCCGGTGTAAAGAGCATCACCAGTGCTGTCATCTGCATAGCAATGAATGTTACGGGTTTGCAACATATCATTGATATGCAGAAGAAACGGCGTTGGCGATAGCACGCAGCCTTGTGGAACACCAGCATTAATAGGCTTGCAATCGGAGCTTGCACCGTCTACAACGACCTTGATGCTCCGATCTGCAAGAAAGCTGGTGATCCAATCGCACAATTTCTCAGGAAGCCCATAGGAAGGGAGCTTCGAAAGAAGCGCTTTGTGCCAAACCCGATCGAAGGCCTTCGCAATGTCCAAACTAACGGCCAATGCCTCCCTCTTGGACTCTACTGCCTCCGCCCATCTGTGAGTTAGGTAGACCAGAAGATCACCAGCTGACCGACCATGGCGAAAACCGTATTGGCGGTCACTAATCAGCTGGTGATCCTCAAGGTACCTCATGAGCTGGCAGTTTACAATGGACTCCATTGTTTTGGAGAACAAGGAGGTGATGGCGATAGGCCGGTAGTTGGACGGGTCTGAGCGGTCGCCTTTTTTAGGGATCGGGTGGACGAAAGCAGTCTCCATGATTTTGGGACTACGCCTAGGGAGTATGAGTACCGGAAAAGTCGTGTTAAAACCGGTGCCAACTCTGGAGCACACGTCCTCAGCACAATTGGGGGGATTCCGTCAGGCCTACTCGACTTGTGGATGTCCAGGGAGAAGAGTGCTTTGCAAACCGAGCGCTGTGTGAGCTGCACTTCCGGCATGGAGCACTCACACCGCGGGATGGTCGGCGGCGTACTCCCCCCGTCATCGAGAGTAGAGTTGGACGCAAAGAAAGAGCCTAGAAGATCGGCTTTCTCCTTTGCGGTATGGGCCAGTGAGTCGTCCTCCCTGTGCAGAGATGGAAAAGATGGCGGACAGAAACTCCCCTGGACAGCCTTGGCAAGAGACCAGAATGCACGGGTTCCAGAAAGAAGCCGGACTAGTTTCTCGCCAATTCTGCCTATGTGCTCTGACTTTGCCTTGGCAATGACTCTTTTGAAGGACCTAGAGGCGGAATTATACTTCTTTTTTAGAGCGCTGGTGTTTACATCCCGGGACGCTGATGCGTCAACCCAGGCTTGGTAGCACTCCTGCTTATAGCATGATGCTATTTTACGGGAGCGACCAAACCATGGCTGAGATTTACCTCCAATGGGCACCACAGAGGAAGGAATAAAAAGTTCCATACCCTGAAGTACCACATCAGTGACAGAATCCGCAACAACGTTGGGATCGTCCGGCGAGAAGCAAACCCGCCCCCAAGGGTAGGATGCAAAGAAAGACCGCATCCCATCCCAATTGGCTGACCTATAGTGCCAAACACGGCGGCAGCCTGCAGATTGCAACTGCGATTTTAGCGTGAGTGGCACCACACTCCGAACAAGACAATGGTCCGAGGAACCTAAAGGGGCGTCAACGGAAATCTGATATCCGCCCGGGTGAGAGGTCAGCAGAAGGTCCAACAGGGAAGGTGCATGATCCTCCACATCTGGAATCCGCGTAGGCGAAGTAACCAGTTGTGTCAGACCATATGCCAAGGCAAAATCATGAACAGATCTCCCCCGCATGATCGGTTAAACGTGAAATAAGCCATTCGGCGTGATGGGCGTTAAAGTCGCCGAGGATCACGATCTCTGCGGAGGAGATCTGCTGTAGCAACGAATCTGTAGCCATTTGGACGTGGTCGAAGAGTCTGTCTGTTTCGGCATTACCGCTATGGGACCTATAGAGGCACCCGTAGACGCGATCGCGGATGGTCGTCGCTGTCTACGCGTAGCCAAAGGATGGACAGGTCCGAACCTTCAAGTCTGCCGAGCCGTCGAGAACAGATGTGCTCTCTGACGTAAACGCAAACTCCAGCCCGAGGCACAAAGGAGTGTTCCAGTTTGTACCCCGGGCAGGAGAGATACAAGACATCAGCCGGAGAGGACACCTGCGTCTCGGTCAGAAAGATGCAGAGCCGGCCTCGCCGTCTCGAGATGGTAGTGGACGGCGTATAGGTTAGAATGATGTCCCCCGATATTGCAGAAATTCACGGACAGCGTGGCAGGGGTCGCCTTGGTTTTGTTGCTCCGTTTGCCCCGAGTAGTTGTAGTCTTGAGCGGAATTTTGCCCCCCCCCCCCAGAATACGCGGGGCAGCCTGGAGCACAGTCAGGAGTGGAGAAACATGATCGTGGATGCTCAGCGAGGGATTCTGAGTTGTCCGGGATTAGGTACTCCTTCAGAATTTTTTCCTTTTTATCTTTTGGCAAGCCTTTGACGAGTAGAGGAAGCCACAATTTGACTAAACTCTCGTGAATTCTTTCTCCAAACTCTGGGGTATCGCTGGTGGACTCACCGAGGGCTTCTAAAAGTTCAGGGTCCAATTCTGGTTCAGATGATGCACCGTTCAAGTTTTGTTCCATCGAAGTTGCCTCTAAAGCCAGTGGCTCTAATGGTTTCTCCGCCCTGGTCTCTGGTCTAGACTCTGGCTCCAGTGTGGGCTCCAGCATGGGCTAAGGTGTTGTGGGACTCTGCCCTGAAGCAATCCCGAGGTCCTTCGTGTTAGCTATAAGGTTTCGTTCAGGGTGGTCGGCGTCTTCAACACCTAAAAATAATATTTTTAGGATTAGAAAAGTGGATTACTTCAACGTACGAAGCTCACGGTCTGCCCTGATGAAGAATTTTTTTTCAACGAACGAGGCTCACAGCCTGTCCTGACGAAGGTAATTTTCTTCAACAAACAAGGCTCACGGCTTGTTCTGATGAAAGCTGATAGCATGTGTAAAAAATAACACATGCTAACGAAACAAATGTTACGTAATATTGACTCGTAGTGAATCGTTATAATACAAAAATAAATATGCTTACCTTCATTATTGGAAGATTGTGATGATATGACCCGTATTCGGCGATGTCGTGCGACATCGCGTTCACGTAATTTTCTAATTTTGCGTTCGTAACGCTCGATTTTTTCTTCCGCACTTCGTTTTGGCATTATAAATTTTAATTATAATTATAAATACTTTACAAAAAAAAGGCAAAAACAAAGTGTAAACTTATTGGGAGACGCGTGCTATCGTCACCGTGCACGAAAAAGGAATGAGCTCAGAATAGCGACTCACTCCGTCCCCGAGTCAGCGGTGGTAGGGGTAAGTCGGTTCACAGCCAACTTTAGTTTAGTCAGTTGAGTGTCTCTTAAAGCGTGCAAAGTCACCTGTAGGTTAAGGGGACTACCTGGTGAATAATTATATCTGAAAAATGAAGCGATGAAATATAATTGAAAATCAAATAATTAATCTAAACAACGACAGCTCAAGTAGTAGTACCGAAAGTGATTGAAAAAATTTATTTTAAATTTAGTTTCAATCTAAAATTTTTATAATTGTGCCTCTAGAAATGAATGAATGATGATTATCCCAATCAAACTATAAATGAACCCTAAATAATCGATATCGATTTATTTAAGAATCGAATATTGTACGTTTCTATTTTTTGGTTGGCATGCTTGGTGCAATAAGTCTGACAGCTGTCAAAATATATTTTTAGATTTGGTTGACTACTACAATTTATTATTTTAATAATACCTAGTTAATGTGTTTGTGTTACCTAGTAAATTTAATTATTTTTTTCTTAAATCAGGTAATTTATTGCAATGCAAGTGATAAAAGATTTTTTGCAACGGACTTCAATTTAATTAAAATGAGAACAAATAGGTACGCATTATTAAGGAGAATTCAAAAACTACTAATCAGATCTTGATTAAATTTATAATGGACTACAAGAGAAGTACTAACTTTCAGGTAAAAAAAGAATCATCAAAATCCTCATATAACACAATAAAAAACATACAGTCGAATTGATTACCTAATACCTTTTTGAAGTCTGTTAAAAATGACTTTTGTCTTGCTGTATATAAGCGTAATTACTTTTATAACGTAGATTTTTTTTAAATCTGACAATAATATAGTTAAAGAATATACGTTTTAAGTTCGTTGTTTATACATGGGAATTCATTACGTCACAAAGTGCCTTGCAGACCGGAAAATTTGGTCGTCTAGTTTACATGCGGGTACCTACAATTTACACATCATGTTTGCGTGAAACACGATATGTAAATTATACTTTGTTGTGCTCATCTAAAGAAAATGCTCTATTTTCATAATGTTCACTTAATTGTATTAGTTATCAATTGTATTTCTTTATTTAAAAGTAACTTTATATAAATAAGAGGATCTTATTTTATTTGTAATCAATCCTTTTCATTTTCATTAAAAGTAAAAAAGTAAAGTTACAGCCTATATACGTCCCACTGCTGGGCACAGGCCTTCTAAATATTTTTTTTCTTATTCCTCAGACATGCAGGTTTCCTCACGATGTTTTTCTTCACCGCCGAGCACGTAGTAATTCAGCACTTAAAATTGAATTGCAATTAACAATTTCATTTATTGCGGGGATCGAACACGGGTTACTCGCGTTCTGTTATATTTACAGTGAGCGTTATCCATCTGAGCTACCACAGCTCGCATATAAATAGAGATCTATCGGGTTGAAGAGAGGATTTGTCGTAATTGCTACGCTTATTCGACAAATCGGTGATTGAGAGTTAAGCCAGTACCGTTTTAATGTTTTTCGTGGGCGGTCTGGATTTTAAACACTTAATGGTGAAATGGATTGCATTTCTACGGAGTGACAATTCAACCTCATTTAAAATTTTAACTTTACCATTAAGTAAATTGTGGGACCGATGTGGGTGAAGTAACTTCTATTTAAGTAAAAATATATATTTTGTCATAGTTTTTAAAGTAACACCAGTAGCTATTAACAAAAAAAAAAAAAAAAACATTAAAGACGATAATCGTTCTTAAATTCGTAATTTATTGCATGTTTGATAATTTGTATATACTCGTTTATTACACAGCTAAGAGCCGAAGTGTGTAGGTTTGGCCGTAACCGTTTTATACTGAAACCGTAAATGAACGCGTGAAAAAGCCGCTATTTTGTATTAAAGATAAAAGATCTTTATTATTCAACTAAAGAATTATGGTTCTAAGCTGTAATTAATATTGATAATAAATTTTTAGCTTTGCGTACCTACACAGTACAGTAGTACAGTAATTGAACTATTGCAGCCGCACTGCACACAAGACTAAAAATGTAGTAGCGTTGCTGAATAGATGTCCTAAAAAATGTCAAATTATTCACTGGATTCGCTGCAAAATGAGATATGTCCAATAGATTTAAAAAAAGAAGACGGCGATTACTTTATTATAAGTAAATTTTAATCAAATTATTGCTATTTACTTCCAGAGGCCGCTTGCCACTATACAATATAGTCTCGTGGTTTTTTGATCTCGTGACTGATCCAAATCTGCACAAGTCATCGCTATCCTATATATATATATATATATATATATATATATATATATATATATATATATATATATATATATATATATATATATACATATTATATATTTTCACATATTTATATTGTTCTATATCTGTTCGAGAAATTGTTAGTTTTTTGCTTATGTTGTTATTTGTGAGTTTCGTAGTGTTTTTGTATGCGCAGATTTCCCCCCGCAAAGAATGACACACAGTTCACTATCGGGAATAAATATCGGGCTACGGGTTACGGCTACTCCTCTCCGGTCCACTGGTGGCCCGTGTTACTATATGCTTACAGCCGACGTAACTATTATTATATATGTGTATTGCTTTCAGCTTACGCTGTTTTGGACACTACCCCTAACTTTTATATTTTATTGGCCTATTTCAGCTACGGTGCACACTTCCGAATATTTACAAAACTTCGCAGGACATTATAGTACCTCAAAGTAAATATTCGATATCGAAATATTCGAACGAACCCATGTTTGTTGCGATATTTATTCAATTAGATTGAAGACGAACTCGGATTTGAAGTCAAGGGGATCGATCATAGTATATCCAGGTATGTAAACTATACACATATGTTTTCACACAATTTTGGCTTAATTTGTGTTACCATGTTCCTCTATAATGTCTTATTTACAACTTAATTTGTTTGTTTATACATTACGATATGATGTGACAGATAATCTCTATATTATTAGCAATAATAACAATGTCCTCCAGACCGAATTCCGGCCACGGCGGCCTGCCTCAACGGCATCGGCGCAGGACAGGATTATAGTGCCCAAGTGTATGCACAAGCATAGGTGCACTCTCTATTCCCTCACTCTCATAACCCGATGGGACGGTAAACCGATACGACTGGAGAGAGATCAGATGCAGGACTAACGGCTTTACGTGCTTTCCGAGGCACGGGGGTGAGACATCGCCAACTTCCTGACTCCGGGCAACTACTGAGAATTTCTTGGTACGGAAAAACTCAATAATTAATTTTTTGGCCCGACCCGGGATTCGAACCCAGGGCTTCACGATCAGCAGTTGCACTACTACAACCACTAGACCAACGAGGCAGTCTATAATAAAGGATCATGATCAATGACTATCATTTTGTTTTCATCTAAGATGTAATATAAAATAAATAAGCTTCTAAATATTTCAACAACTTTTGGTATATCATGTAAACAACTTTTTAACTAAAGAAGTTATCAAGTCATAGAAATACTCTGAAGCCGCTATGGTTATCCCTAGATGTTATAAACTTGTTCGTAAATAAACAAACGTATCGGAACATACGGGTGGTCGGCAACAAAACATTGTACGATTTGTTGACGCGTTGCTATCCCTCCTGTTGCTTATACACTTTTAGTGTTTTGTATCGAGAAAGTCAAATAGTGTAACGTCTGTTGGTTACTATTGATCAGATTTTTTTTAATTTAAGAATGAACATTATTGATAGTTGTCAATATTATTGCGATTCGCATTGCGCCATATATTTATTAATGTAGGCTGCCATTTGTCAAAAAAGATAGATTTTTTGATTTATACCGTGATTTACTGCATTCTGTCAATATTTTTTTACAGAAGAAGGGGCATTCGAAGCAGTGCGAAATTGCCTGATGGTGACCACCGCCGCATATAACAACTGCCAACATATATCTATATCTGACAACATATAACAACACAAAGGCCAATAGGAGGTTTATTTGAAATTTCCTATATCTTACCATTCCGAAAAATGTATAAAATCACAGGAATTATGCAAGGAACAAAAATTAATGAAAGAAAGAAAGAAAGAAAAAATAATCATTAAAACGTTCAAAAATGACGAAAATTTGCGTAACACACATACAAAAAGTACATAAAGTCAGATCGAAAATCTCTTCTGTATTGAAGTATACTATAAAGATATTTTGCACTGAAATGGTTTCATAAATGTTATTTGCTCAGTTTAATATACACAAATGAAGAGGTCACAGTAACACAAAATAGATAGGGTGAAAGGGGTAATTAGTGGATGCAATTTTCGGGCTGATTTGACCTAAGTTGTTCTGTGCAAGGCTAATGGTCACAGTGTACGCTGTGAGCTATTGGGTTTATAGGTCGACGATAAATTCTCTGACCAGTGTTTAGTGGTCATTATAATGGTCTGTGGTTCACAGATGTATTTGTAATTATCTTTGCTATTTGCTTTGCTAAATTTATTTACATTCAAGGGTTTACAGTTACACATTAAATTTTTAAGTTGCAACTAAATTAATACTATTTAATTAATATTTTTTCTAGAAACCACTCTTGAATTAAGAGGCCTTTACCAAGAAGTAGTGCTATTATTGACTGTAACTTTACTAATTTACATGAATATTTGAAAAAAGTTATCATAAGTGATACTGATGTTACAACGAAGATAAATTTTTAACAATATTCAACTGTGTTGGCGCCTTGGGAGAGTATGGTGCTGCAGATGTATTACATAGAAGGTGAATTACATATCCTGATTATACCACCAACGGCTAAAAGTGCAGATATTGCACCAATAAATGCACCATTTTTATTTTTTTAAATATTTCTAGTATTTTCTCCCGTATCGTGGAGGCAGTTTAC